AGTATAATAAAGGGGACCAGCATAAAAATCAACTTCTTCTATTGTAAGATAAAGTAGTCATGGCTGAAGAGCGAATTTCCAGTTCTACGTCCTTGTTTCATAGAATCACATAAGATAAGGACTGGAAGGGACCATAAAGATCACTTTGTTCCAACCTCCTGTGCCATGGGCTGGGACATCTCCCACTAGACCAGGTTGCTCAAAGCCACATCCAACCTGGCCTTGAACACTTCCAGGGATGGGACATCCACAACCTCCCTGGGCAACCTGTTCCAGCCTCACCACCCTCACAGTAAAGAATTTCCTCTGTCCTAAATTTCTCCTCTTTCAATTTGTACGCATTGCTCCTTGTCCTGTCACTGATGAAGAGTCCCTCTCCAGCATCCCTGTAGTCCCTCTCCAGATACTGGAAGGTGCTATGAGGTCTCCACACAACCTTCTCTTCTCCAGGCTGAACACGCCCAACTTTCTCAGCCTGTCTTTGTAGCGGAGGTGCTTCAGTCTCCTGATCAACTTTCTGGACGCCTTAGGACTTGCTCCAGCATGTCTTTCTTATGCTGATGGCACCAGAAAATCCGGATTCAGCTGCTATTCTATTTGGGGTCTCATGAACTAAAGTGATTCAGCTTTAAGAGGGACCAAAAGTATTCAGAAAATCTCAGACCTTCATTTCCACCTGCTTCTGTTCCAACCGGGGTGTGTCTGTGGGGGGACTGTTCCGCACACCTTAGTGACACCTCTACGTGCTTACACTCAGGCACCGCCACAGCAAAAGGCGGGATACAGCGATGGATTTCTGTCGCTTTGTCCCTTCGCGCTAAACCATGCACACACACACACACACATACAGGCACACAGACCCGCAAACCCGAGCCCAGCGCCGTTGCGGTGTGGAAGCTCCTCACCAGCACCCCCTGCTCCGCTCGGACAGCCGGCCCGCCCGCTGCCCGGGTCCGCCGGGTCGCCGCCGCTGCCCGGCCCCGGGGCACAGGAGGCGCCGCCGCCCGCCGCGGCGTTGCCGTGGCACAGCGGGCCGCCCCCCCTCACCTCCCTGCGGCGCCGGTCACCGCACGGCGGCTCCCGAGGGACAAACGCCCTCCTCCCCGCTCCGCTCCCGCCCGCCGGGCACGGCGCTGGAGAGGCGCCGCCGCCCCGTTGCCGTGGAGACGGGGCTCCGCGCCGCGACCCCCCTCCTTGTCCCCCCCTTCCGTGTGACACAATTCCATTTAACGCCTGGGGATTGACGGGAAGCAGAACACTGAGGGGCGCCGGGGGACATCCCCCCCTCCCCAGGAGAGCGGCCGGCGGCTCTCCCTGTCCAGATGAAAGCCCTTGGATGCTGTTAAATTATGCACTTGCCAGGGAAGAGCCTCGGTTTCTGTGTTGTATTATTCATGATGAGCAATCGGATCAGCGCAAGAGCCAGCAGCGTCAGAATTCGGGCTTTTGTTAATCACGGAATTATAGAATCACAGAATGGTTTGGGTTGGAAGGGGACCTTAAAGATCATCTAGTTCCAACCCCTCTGCCATGGGCAGGACACCTTCAACTAGACCAGTTTTCTCAGAGCCCCAACCTGGCCTCGAGTGGTTCCGTGGATGGGACATCCACAATTTCGTGGGCAAGCTGTTCCAGTGCCTCACCACTAATGACAGACAAGCAGTGACTCTCCAGAGAAACACCTCTCTGTGTTAACCACACTTTGCTCCTAGAACTTGGAAACGGGGAGAAAAAAAGAAACAAAGAAAATCAGGAAAACATCCTGAATTAATTCCCGTCTGGAAAAAAAAACAACAACCCAAACACAAAAAAACCCACCCCAATTTACCTTCAGGGCCAGGGAGCTGGCAGAGGTGTCAGGCTCCTCAGTAGAGCTGAGGGGGAGGTGGCACATCACAGCCTCCTCTGTGGGGGACTGAGCAGCCCCTACGGGTATTGGATGCCACATCCCTGTGGTCAGCAGGTCCCCAACAAGCTCTGTGACCATCAGACTCGCCATGGAGCACACGCAGGGCTCCCTGCAAGGGGAAGCAGCTGCCGGCAGCTCTCCAGGGTGACCAAGGTTCACGCAGCATCACAAGATGCTTCCCAGCACCATATTTTGGGGGATGACCCTCCTCAACCCTCCTGCCAGAACGTGGCCCTGGGCTGTGGCAGCATGACCCCCCCGGGGGTGGAGGGAGGGAGTTGTCCTCATTGGCAGTACTGACATGGTGCCTACCACACTCTCTTCACACAGCCATGGCTCCCAGTTGGAAATGAGTACACTGGCACAGCAAAGTGAAGGATGACAGTCTACAAGGCCACAGACCTCAGAGGGCAGGATCCCTGCTGTACTAAAGGGTTAATGTTAATGGAAGAAAATACATGCAGAAAACAGCCACGAAGCCAGGGCTTTGATAACTCTCAGAGTAACTTGAGTAGAGTTACCCTTTCACTCAGTCACATGGGATAGAAAAGCTAAACCCCTTCAAGGTGGGGTTCAGGAGATCTCTGAAGACATCTGTCATCATAGGCCACATGCCATGGGAGGAGGCTGGACTCCACTACCTCAGGATTTCTGCTTATTCTACACCATATAGCAAGAAAGAGAAACGGGTTTTGTTTCCAGTGGGCTGGAAGGACTCCCTAATATTTACTGGAGATAACACTTGGGTATGGTTCTTGCTTGGCAATGGTTCTTTCTATACCTGGAATTACTTCAACCACTGACCTCATCTAGGGCATGCAGTTATCCCACCCTTGCAGACAATACACCGAGTTTCTGATTTTCCACATTTTACAGATAAGTGTCATTGACAAATTTATAGCACACTAAAATTCAGAGAACTTGGCACAATACCAAAGCTTTCCACTCTGCTTTTTTCATAAGACTATCCTTCAGCTTAAAAGCCAGTGCTAATGCTTTTATTCACAAGAGATGCTTTATTTGACTAATAACAAATCAGCATGATTAAGACAAGGATTAGACCCCATTGTCTGAATATCAAGCTGTGATGCTTGGTAATGATAACTTAATGATATGAGGTCAACCTAAATTCATGCATGCATTCATTAACCCACATGTCATTAAATGTAGGTTTTCAGATGTTCCCATCTGTGAAGAAGCTACAGAGAATGGTTATGAAAAATGCTATGAAAACAGCAGCTAAGCAGTGCAGGGCTCCAAGGACCAGCCCCGACATGTTGGCTGCTCTTTTCCATGTCACTAATGCATCAGACACTGTTCAGGGAACACTGTTTCACGCAGAGAGAGTACATTTCACAGAGAAAGGCTGCATAACACCTCCAGAGTAATGGTGAACAAGCACCTTACCACCTTTGTATGTTATGTAGGAAACAGTTGACACTATTAGAAGCCACTGGGAACAGGGTCCAGAGCTCCCAGTTCCATAGCCAAATTCCCTCTTTCTTTCCCAGTACTTGGCTGTGATCACACCAACAGAGAAGAAAATGCAACCCCTTCCATACGGAGCCCTTCCCTTTCCCTGAGCACCACCAGAGCAGCCAGCTCTGTCACATATGCACACAGCCACAGCAGGGTTGAGTGTAGCCCTGCCATGCCCTGGTGGGCTCTCACAGCCAGTGCTAGCCCAGAGGGACAGCAGTGGGTGCTGCTCCCGAAACAGCAGCCTTTGGCAGCTCTTACTATTCTTGCTTTTTGGACAGAACAAGCCCAGCACATCTCAATGTAACAGTGATCCCAGGAACTAAACCCCCTCTTTAGCTTTAGTCCAGGAATTGTACTGTCTTGATCTTACCAGCAGGTAAGATCTGATGCAGGACACACAGATTCAGTAGTAACACTCACCTCCAGCAGCCCGGAGCATCAACTGGAACAAAGAAACAGCCACAGCTTCCCAGGCAGAGCTGTGTATTTATCTCATCTCCATCAAACTGCACTGCATGCTGTATCTCCAATGCAGAAATTCAGCTCCTTCACAGCAGCTGTGTGTCCCTTTCCAGCTCTCTCAGCTGTACACGATGTGGCAGGATGAGATGGGAGGAGCAAGGAGGATTGCCACTGTTGATGTGGACTTGCTTCTCTTGAAGTCAGGAGCAGCCTCAGGGTTCTTGTCACAGCACCTTGCACCAGCACCGCATGTGAAACATTTGAATCCACCTGAGAGGGTAATGCTATATGCCTGTATGAGCTACTAGCTGCCTTCCTGACATATACAAGCAGAGATTTTAATCCCTCACACTGTTAAACTCATCCCTGCACAGCTTACTCCTGCATTCACCCAGGGACGGCAGATGAATGAAAGTCAGAGCAAACTGGACATGCTGACAGTCCTATCCTTCCTGCCTCGCAATAAAGCTCTGAAGGAAACAATCCTAAAAACGCCTCCCCTCCCCCTTTCCTCCCCAGAACACCCCTCTTCTCTTGCCTTTCGGGTTGTGCAGAGGGCTTGCTGGACTACTACCCACACCAACCTACATCAAACTGGCAGCACGTACTCAGAGATCACTTTGCCCTCCAGCCCACCCTGTACTATGAGGTGCAAGACATCTAGAAGCACAATGCAGGGACAGCTTTCCAAGGCAGACAAGTGCGGGTATGCCAGGATGCAGAACTTACAGCATTTCTTCCTTAAGGCCTCAATTTTGTAATTAGGTCAATGTAAATAAAAAGGTGCTCCTGCATGGCAAACCTACACCTGCTCTCCCCTGCTGTCACCCTCAGTGAGACTGATGCATCCTGACCAGGGTTACCCTACATCAGTGAGTGATGACTTACCTCACTGGACCAGTCTGCACTGGAACTGGAGTTCAGCAATTAAGAATCTTTAATACAAGACACTTGCACAGAGTTCTGCAAACCTACAGAAGCCAGCCAGTTATTACCAGCCTCTTGAAGACTACCTTCTTTTTGCGTGTTTTGTCCTATATTGTTTTCTTCTTTGTTACAAAGATGCTCAGAAAAACCTGAAGCAGCAGTGCTGTGGATTAGCAAGGTATCAAGATAGAAAACAAACACTGGCCACACAGGATATCTCGAAGTAGTTTTATTTAACAAAAATATCTATTCAATTAGAAACCAACAATGTCAACATGGTTACAGAATTTCATAGGCATCATTAACTCTGCATACAGCTCCAGTCAGGCTTTATAGTCACCTCATCACCACAGCAACAGCACAGTTAGGAACCTGAACAACATCCAGGTATGGCTCCCATACATTAGCAGACCTGAAGATGTACACAGTGTAGTATGCCTCTCTATTGCAGTTGCCACAGTTTCATTACTTTGGTAGACAAATCATTGCTATTGCTGTAGTTTGTTAGTTAATTTTTGGCTTGCTTTTAAAATAACTGGGCTGTTCCCCATCAAAGATTTGCTCTCTGTATGAAAAACATGATTAAAATTGAGCTGCTCCTTTGGGTCACTTGACAAGAGTGCCATACACCCACTCCTCTGGCCTTGCTGCAACTGCCATCAGACCAAGGAACTCAAAGGACAGACTACCTCTGCACCAGGACAGCTCATCAGCTAGCATTTCATGGCTTCAGATTTTTTTTTTAAAACAAAAAACAGCAGAGAAAGGAATATATACATGGGTGGCTTCAAGTTTCCATTTCAGGATAAGGCTGAAGTTTACGTCTGTAAATGCCAGTGCAGCTGAGCCCTCTTTAGGGGACTGTTTTAGGAGGCAGCCTGCAAACACAGAGAAGCTTTGGGGAGTGGGTTACCCTGAGCAGCCAGCCTGGAAGGGGTCCCCAGGCCCCAGATCCCAAACACATTAATCATTCACCTTGTGTGATAAAGGCTCAGGTTCACAGAAAATGATGAGAAATGTCCCAGTCAGAGGGAAAACACCTTCCCAACCCCAATGCTGTGAAGTTTCCATGGCACTAAAAGCAAGTGATGAACCAAAGCTGCTTCTTCAGCTGAAAGTAGGAAGAACCTCTAACCAACACACAAAGAGAAGGCATGGAGGGAAGCACGACGTGTTGCATCTTCTCCCTTGCCAGCTCTCCTGTACACTTAAAATCACCACAACCTTCACAGCAACAGGGACAGTCCACAGGCCATTTCCACAGTATACTGCAGATATCTGTTGCTGTGCTGATCACGGCACCTGAGTATCCAGGTGCCCAAGCCCAGGACAACTCTGTGCAACTCCTTCCCAGTGTTGAAGCAATTTAGAAAAAATAAATTATTTTTTAAAAAGAGACATGATGCAAGTCCCAAATTGCTTAAACTGGACAAAACAAAAGGACTGCCCACTCCAAACATTCATTGTTCTGCTCACGTGGAAAGAAGAGGTAGCATTAGTGGACAGAGACCCATCAGAAGCATAAAGGCATTTTATAATAAGGGGGAAAAAACTGATAGACCATAAGTCATCATTTTTCAAAGCCTCAGACAGTCAGTGTGCTAACTACCATAACTGAAGGTGTCTATTTAGTCATCAGAGTCACAGTTCTCTAAGGCCACAAAGAATAGCTTAAAATCCTGCAAGTCACCCTACTTCTTAGTGCTAACATCCACCATCCCACTGAAACAGTTCAGCCCCCAGGGTTGTGAAGCAGTGACTCCTGTAATCACAGAAACCTGCAGCCCTAAAGGACAAACGCAAAGTTGTCTAAGGGTCCCTTGGATTAGCATCTCGTCTATTTAAACTCCCTCTTAACTTCCCCTCCAGCTTTACAATCCTTTGGGTACTGGCACAAGTAGTTTTGCTGATTACCAGTCCAGCAGTGTTACAAATTGCCCCAGGACACAGTTATGTTTTTGGGGAAGCACCATGATCAGCCATGGGCTGGCAGAAGGGGCGACAGAAGACAGGAGCAGGAGAAACAAACAGTACAAGCTCCTCAAGGAAGCATGTGCGTGTGCAGAAACATTAGTGTACCAGTCCTCAAAACGGAGCACCCAGCATCACAGGGTAGCCCCAGTGAGAGCCACACTGCAGAGCACAGCCCTAAGGCCACCTCCTGTCCCAGGCCTGGGGCTCTCCACAGAGAGGTCCATTAGTGTGCCCTCACTTCTGCCCTGCAGCAGCACCTCAGTGACAGAGAGAGCAGCAGTTGACTAGACAAAGCTGCCTGTAGACGGACAGCCTTAGACTAAAACCTCCCAGGGTTCTCATTCTTTGAGAAAGCTTTACTGTTCTTTGCTGCACATCCATACATGCAACAGAAGAACGAAAGGCATTTTAGAAAGAAGATATTTGTTCTTACTTATGTAAGAGCTAATACATTTGCCTTCTAAAATGTGCTACTAATATAGTATAAATATGGATCAAATACCGTTTAAGGTGACTGCTTTGGGAAGAAAAGGCAGAGATTAAAAATAGATCTATATCTTCATATGTAGTCACCAAGAGTCTTCGCTTGGTGCGCTACTGGCTTTCAGGAGATCTGCTTTGCATCTGCTCTTGTCTTCTGTAAGCTCTCACAATACTGCATATGCCACTGACCAAGAACACCAGTGAGATGACCGCAAAGTAAGAGGCGTAAATCATGAACTGCAGAGAAAAGGAAAAGAAAATAAAAAGAAGTGGTTAAATCAAGCAGTTACCAAATTTATAAGAAGGTTAATAAATAAGCTCCCTTCCTCCTCTAAAATATCAGAAATCAGTGATTATTTCTCTACATACCCTTGATCCAGAAACAGGCAGCTGAGAAGCTTTACAGCTTGGTTTACCTTCCTCCCTCCCTGCCTTCCATCAATTGAGGTAAGAGCATCTGTCATACCTGGGTGAAGATGTCCAACCCAAGCCCACTGGCATCCACAACAATCAAAGTGAGCACAGTCTGAAGTGCTAAGGCAATGAAAGTATTGACCCCAAACACCAGGGCATACCGCTCCACGCTGAGATTTGTAGCGATCTGGAACCTGGAAAGAAAGGGATGACCAGAAACATAAGGACAGGGGAAAAAGAGACTGCACAAATGGGAGGGATGTTTCTAGACAACTATGCAGCCTTAGGAGTTACATGGACCAGTCCACTATTTTTCACAGCTAAATTACCTTGCACTGATAGTGTACTTTTCTAAACAGGTTCATGATGGACTAGAAGCTAAAAGAGAACCTTAGATACATGCAAAACTTTAAAAAAAAAAAAACAACCAAAAAAACCTTAAAACAGCACTTTGGGAGCTCTCTGGGTTTCTGTTACTGAAGTAGCCCTCCAGTTCGATGTAAAGGGTCTCATCATGCAGACATGATACAACACACTCTGATCTCATAGAGATGCTGGCAGTCTCAAAGTGTCAATCCATTGCAGTGTGGTCCATAACCTCTGGCATCCTCCTAACCAGAATTCCCTTTGCAGTTACCAGTTTCAGCATCACTCCTCATATTGAGCTGTCTCGTAGTGATTATGCATGTGTGGTTCAACAACAGTGTTTTCCTCCCCAAACTGACAAATAACACTGAAGAAGTTTTCCTCCTTACAGGTTAGGAAGAGTTGATGCTTTAACACAAAGCATCATCCTCTCCTCATCTGTTAACACTTCACTCCAGCCATGTCTGTAAAAAACATCCCCCTGGCAAACAGCACTATATAATATTCAAAAGTAGTCAGTTTAGTGTCATAAGACTTTTAAGCTTGGGCATGCTGCCAGCTAAATATATCTCCAGGCCTCAGTTTCCAACCAGAATCACCACACAAACCCTTGCAATAGACTCTTGTTACACAGAAAATACCCCACTTTCACAACAGCTGTAACATTGAGAGCAGTTTGTATTAAAAAAGATACTCACGTTGCTATCGTGATTAGCATCATGTAGATAATTCTGAAGACAACATAGGATCCATAGCACACCCAGATATTATGAACAGTGTCCATGACATATACAGCAGCAGCAATGAGAAAGGAGAACAGGGCAAGTGCCACTTCACCCCACATTGCCCAGGATGTTTTTATGTGACCCACAACAACAACTGCAACAGCTCCTGTGAGAGGAAGGAAAGCATAACCATTAGTAATTGCAGTTGGGGCAATTTGGAGACCGTGTATTAGGAGCTGTACAGCCCTGACAGCCAAACATGATTGAAGTGGAGGACATGAATGTGACCACCTTAGAGGCTCTCCTTCCTGACCCCTCCCTTGCCTGGAACCCTGTAAACTCCCACTCGCTTTCACAGAAAGACAAAAAAAAAAATACGAAGGTCAATGCTGACGGCCTCTGAAGTCTCCTCTCCACAGCCCCAGGACTCAGGCCACTGCTGCTTAGTTCTCTGCACTTGACTGTGGCAGTGTTGTCAATTTGGCAACTTCTGTTGAGAAATGCAAACCCTGGTTCTCAAAAGCACTCAGCTAATTATTTTGTGCTGCTTTAGGGGGGTAGGAAGACATTACCTACTTTGATGCACAGCTGTTAGAGCTCTCTCCTTGGAGGCACAAAAACCTACATTTACTGTCATCAGCACATTGGGTTGTAAGAGTAAGTAAGAAGAGGAGTCCAAATCCACATCTCCTGGGATGCAGCCTAATCACAGGGTACAATCATGCACTACTGATTGTGCAAGAACAATCCTTTGAAATCAGAACAGGTTTGTAACTCTGACTGGATTTTATGAAGGGGAGATGGGGAGAGAAGACAGATCACAAGATGGAAAATATGTGATATTTCATGCAAATCAATGAGCAGACAAGGTGTTCATGCAGAACCACTGTTGTAGCTACTGAGAAGCCTAAATACATATTACATTAATAGAAAATTCCCATTTGGGGTAGGCCTTGTTCTGCAAACAAGCCAAATAGCAACCAACAGCATAACAGCACCGCTGTACAGAGCAAACTAGACAAACAGCCTACTGACAAAGGGAGGTTTACTGGGGATCCGTGAAAAACAGGATTGTATTCAGCATTATAAGTACAGAAGTGCTATAGTGCAGCATCTAAGCTCTTTGTAGCCCTTAGATGCCCTATTATCTTAGAAAACCTTCAAGCACACCAAGACTCCTTGTGTTCCATCAGTGTGCACAAGCCTGTGATCCCATCAGGCCTCACATCAATCTTGCAGACTACAGAAGAAGGGAGCTATGCCAAGGGAAAGGAATTTATTACCCCCACTAAACTCTTCTTCCCAGTGCTTGCTATGACACTATGTGACTGACATTTGAAAGTCTGGCTCCCCTGTAGCAAAACCCTGAGATGCAAAAAGAAGGTAAAGTCCTAGGGCCTTCTTCCTACTTGTCTTAGCAATTCTGAAATTTGGGAACAGACATGACTCTCTGGGATCTCATGGCAACTCATGAAGTTGTGCTCTCCCTATGTGTAAGGGTTGTATCAGCCTGACACCTAATTAAGATATTCAATCTGTGTCCTGCCATGAGACACCTGCAGCTGATCCAGTTGTTTCACAACCCAACCTGATAAAGGACATTCCCAAGAAAGTGCATGAATGCAGCTTAACAGTCAGCTGACCTCCCTAGAAGGAATACTATTTCTCTTGCCCAGGACAGGAAGCCAACAGGGACGTGAGTCACCTTGCTCAACTTAAACCCTTCTGCAGGGCCACACAGGCAAGGATGGCAACACCATCTGACACAAAGGTTGCCAAACACTGCTCATAACTAAGAGTGATGAAAGTGATGAAAATGATGAAAAATCAGATCTGGGATGCACCAGGAGAGGTATATCTACTAAAGGGAGAGGAGTAAACAGTATGTTCTTCTGTAAGTCTGAGGCTTCACTGAATAAAGCCGACTGCAGCTCCAGTCACCCACCTTCAAAGACAATGGAACTCAAACTCAAGGTTTGGTGCAAAGAGGACCTAATAAGATGATGAAGAGAACAAAAAGCTTAACCTTACCCAAGAACACTAGAAAAACTTGATTTCTTTGGCTCAGAGTAAAGATTTTGTGCTAAAATACAACCATGGCATGACATCAGAGATAAATAAACTGCTCATTAATAAATTTTAACTGGAAATCAGAAACTAGAGCATTTGCTCTAGTGCCTGGGGAGTCAGGTCACTGCATGCTCATCCTTAACAGGTCCCTTCCAGTCCTGATATACACTTGAAGCTTTTAGTTGTGACTATTACTTCACTAAACTTTACTTCTTTCAGGCAATTAATCTGTGTCAACTGAAAGGATCTTCTGGTTCTGTCTTTAGAGCAGTTCAGGGCCAGAGGCTAATTTGCTTTCAGAAAACGTCACCCAAAATGATTCAACCATTTATAAAAAAGATACTAGAGAAAAAAAAAATCAAAATGGGAAACTAAAAACTCCAGTTTTACAAGAGTTTAGTGCCATCCACCTTTTTTTCTAACAGGTCCATTGTTCATAGGCCTTTGAAAAAGGACCTTTATAGTAAAGATGTTTGCGGTAAGGTTTGAAAAATACTCCTCCTTTCTTTTTTCTTTTCTTTTTCCATTTTTTTAAATCTGCTGACATTTGACCACATTATGGGTCTTCCTTCCCTTGATACCGATTCTTTTCCTTCCTGGGAACAAGGCAGGATGGTAGAGGAAGCCAATTCAAACAAGAAACCAGAGCCATAGCATTGTGCTAGGATGGAGGAACAGTGTATGACTGTGCTATTTAAGTGCAGGTTTAGCACACTAAGGACTACTGAATAGCCAAAGTCTTCAAAATCAACTTGCCAACAGTTCCAAAGCCAACTAACAATAGGCTGTAGACCAGCTTTTAGAACTATAAACCAGCTACAACATCCTACCAAACTTCAAGAGGCGGGTGAGTACGCCCAAGAAAGTACTAATAATTTATTTGTATACCTTGGTTTCTTTTGCCCCCAAGTACGGGATGTCCACAGCAGATGATGGAACAATGAGTCCATCAAAGAAAAGGAACATGCTGCAGCAATATCTAGAAAGCCTCTCTAAGGGTAGGATAGCTATGTGAAAAAATTATTGTCCTAGTTCTGGTAATGAAACAGTATTGAACAACTTAATAAACAAATGTTTGTGTTGACTGACCTACCTGTCCCTTTCAAGTCGACCAACTTCTTTCATCTTAATAGCTTCTCCTCTTAACAGTGCTGAAATGACTAAACATGGCTCACTGCATGCTGTATGTGTACAGGAAACCTTCATATGTTCCCTACACTGCTGAAGGAAAACCAAAAGCACAGGACCTTTAGTCTGATGCTAAGTAATTAAACCAAGCATAACTCCACTGCCATAGTGACAGCCAAGAACACACAGCCAGCCACAGGCCTGAAGCCTTCTGCCAAATACTTCAGAATGAAGACTGACTTGGGAGGCTCCTTTAAACACCTACGTCCTGGATTACAGGAATCAGAGCTGTGTGCAGTGACTAACTCAACACTGAGCACCCTAGCTGTGTCTGTCAGGGAAGCTTACCTAGGAGCGTCGAGGCTGCCTCCACGGCACCGTTGTAGATGTCTGTGCTATGAGAAGGCAGCACCATCTCCCACAGCCCCTGAGCGTAGTTGATGACCTGGAAGTATCCGCAGGTGGACAGTGCCCACCACACGGACCAGCAGAGCATGGTCCGGGAGGAGTAGCACTGCAGGAAGTCCCGCCAGAGATCCTTGAGCACCTTTACGATGTCTACTTTCTGCTCCTGCATAGATTGGAGAAGGAAGGGGACAGAAATGTAAAGTTTTTGTTTATAAATACTTCACACTGACCCACAAAACTGCCCGTTTCAGGTGGTCTGATCACTGATGAGTGACAATACCACTCTTGGACACAAACCTCCACACAGTAATGAATAAAAAGCTTCCTCATCCCACAGTCTCAGGAACTGGTCTCTGCACTAACTAGGGCCATCCCCTTAAGTGCAGAGAAAGGGTTCAGTCCCAAGCATCCCTCCATCTCTAGCTCTCCCAATCGGGGAACAGGAACTGCTGATGTTATATGAGCAACAGAAAGGTACCAGAGAAGAGACACAGAAGAACAAGACACGATATCCACTTGGACAAGACAGGATCAGAAGTCAGCCATTTAAATCATAAAGGCAAAAACCATCACTGCCACTTTTAAGTCATGATCCAAATTTTGTAGCACAAAGAACATGAAAGAGGAGTATATCTCCCCACAAAAAAAGTAGATTTTCATTGGTACTAACATTTCGAGTTTATTAATATTCAAAGAAGCAATCTCATTACAACACACTCTACCCCTGTTATAGCTCACCAAGGCTTCAAGAAGGTGAGAGATATCATCTGGGGATCTGAAGAGAAACAGAAGCTACTTCCACCAGACACTGCTGTCACAAATGGCAGCTCCTGTACATACAAGTGTCCTGACAAATGGCATGAAATTAAGTGCCCTGTCAAATGGCATGAGGTAAAAAAATGAATCTTTCCAGTCCAGAAAGAGCACACTAGGGGGCAGACCCTTAAAAAATATAATTGAAAATAGATCAATTCTAACAACAGGGGATGACAACAATCAAAATCGCTTTTTACATGCACACTGTTACAGTCCTGTTCTTTACCAACTTATGTCAACAACAGCAGAGGAAAAGAGCATGTCTACTTCGTAGACAAGAGTTTCTGATAACATTTGCTGCATGCACACATGTACAGAGTCTGTGCAAACAAGCAAGACCCTTCTTGGGTGACTCAGAGGAGCAGTTAGACTACTTATGTGAGACTGGGCAGAGCCCCAAGGCCCACCCAGCATCTCTGGCCCCTGTGAACCTGGATTCCCCGCAGGGAAACACACAGCAGTGTCACAGGACTGAGCTATTGCACATTGTGCTGTCACAGGTCCAGTTTCAGCGTGGTTTCCAGACAGCAGCAGCAACTTTGGGCTCTTGGCGGTATGCCCTTTGCCTGGGGGAATTGTGCAGCGTGCCTGGGAAAGACTATTTTCCATGAGCAATAAAACTCATTTTACAGTGTTTCTACTAACACTCCCAAAGACCACAGCCTGAACCCTGTCCTGAACTTGCTTTCTTCCACCCCTTAAAGGGTCACTAATTTCTAAGCATCTTCATTAAACACATGAAGTTCCATTGGTGCTTTGCCAATGGCATAACTCTTGTTCTGCATACAGAGACCATTCCTCCAAAGTCCAAGAGAACAACTTGGGAAGAGGTCACCTTGTGACAGTGTGACCTTAGCACATAATGCCCACACAGAAGATTTCACATGAAGCTCAAGTTTAGGCACAGGAAAACAAGGGAAGGGAACTAACTGTCACATACACTGCAAAAGCTGATTCGGCACATTCAGCCCAAGCATGTGCCTGATAAAGCAGAAAGGCCCATCTGCCCTCCTACCACCTGGCAGTGCTTCTTCAGTATAATTATTCCTACAGCCATTCATGTTTGTGAGATATGGTTGTCGTTACCTCAGGAAGGAAGACTATCATCACACACCAGTGTGACGATAGTCTCAACTTTTAGCACCAAGTATAACTGAACTCCGGAGAGTTACACGGGTGTACTTGCTCCTTCTTTAAGCTATTCACCATTACTTTGGAACCACATGTACTCTTACAGGGTGGGAGTAGGATAAACAAAAGGGATGGATAAGTTATATGTTAGTCATTACTGGCACAGAGCTTGTCTTAACAAATGTCCTTCGGCACACAAGCATAACACAGTTAGAAACACTTTTGCTCACACAAGATCGTGCTGGATGGGGCAGGATTAAGTCCCTGGAATGTTAATACTTTTAATTCTCAGCTGTAGCTGGAGAAGCTGAAAGCAGCCCTGGATGCTGCCTCCCCCAAACAAGCTAACTGTGGCTTACTTGCTAAGTGAAATACCCACTGCTGACTAATCCAATAGCCGTGCTTACCTTCTGGCTTGTTCTCAGAACAAGCAAGGCCTCCTTCTGTCCAAGGAGCAAGGCTGACCTTTCCCCAGGCCCTCAAATCCCCCTGCTGAGAATCCCCCTACAGGTGTTTCCCTGGAGCAGTAGAGCAGTGACCTGCCCAGCAGGCAACTACACACACACATTGGGCCTCCAGACTGGAGGCTGCTCACTCATCACCTTGTGGGACCCAACACATCCCATCACCCAACAAGGGTGTCTGCACACTTGTTTCCATACAAATGACTTTGCTAGAGGTTAGGCAACCTACAAAAGCCACAAGTCAGGGCACTACCTCAGTGCTCTCATGGGCTGCATTAAGCTGCTATTATGCAAAGGTGTTTCCTGTAATTTATCTGTATTCTGACCATCTATAAATCATCAATGTCTGTCTCCAAGTGCTCTCAAGAATTACTGCAGTTCCCTTCCTAGACTAGTTTCCTTCCAGGATCATATGATAAAACCCAATTACTACACAGCTTATTACTGCACAACTTGCACAACAGTCGAAGAAACAAATGTCAAAATGAGAGTGCAGGAAGAATTGTCTCTTTTCTGCAAGTCACTGATGCATCCAGAAGCACACACAGAATCTGTATATATACTGAATTTTTAGTGCCCCAGAGACATCCCTTGCTTTTGTACCATTGAGTGGCAATTTGATGCCCAGAGCATTTTAATTATAGCATTGGAAGACATGGAGAGCAATTTCAGAAAACTAAGGAGCAGCCTACCATGCTCAAACAGCAAAAGAATGCCAGTAATAATTTTCCCTGTGCCATAAATAAGGAAAGTGGGCTAAGCAAACGGATACTTTTTTGATGTTAGATATTACATCTCTACTGCTATGTACATATATGCACATATGCATGTGTGACAACCACATCAGTATGGCATCTTCTCCTTAAGAAAACCCAGGGCACAACTCACCTGTTTCTCTGCTGAATGACCCTCCCCATTTAAGGGAACTTTTGTCTCATCCTCCCAGCCAGGTGCACTCTGCACATCAGGATGATCTTGGACGGCCGATCCATTTTTACAGTCCATCACCTTCATTTCACAGCTGAGCTGTTGACTCGAGACGTGGTGAAAGAAAAGGCTTTTTTGTGGCATCGGCAGAAACCATGCTGTGCCAAAGGCAATGGATATGCTGGTTAAGGAGATAACGTTCAAGCTGAAGAGGGACCATCCTGCCACCGACACAAGGACCTGCCCGGACACCGAGCCCACCGTGTAGCCCACCAGGGTGGCGCTCCGGCAGTAGCTGGTGACCTTCTGGTACAGGTTGACATCGACGACGCTGTAGATGTAGGAGTAATAGGCGATGTCGGTGGCCGTCCCCATCCCATAGAAGAACTCGAGGAACTGGACGGCCCGCAGCCCCTGGGCGTACAGCAGCATGAACCAGGTGACGATGAGGCTCAGGCCCTGCAGCAGCACCACGGGCTTGTACCGCAGGTAGTCTGTGGCCAGGAACACCGGGAACAGCAGCGCCAGGTAGGAGTAAGTCCACACCGGGTAAATCTCGTTGAACACCTGCGGGAAGGAGAAGGCGGCGGTGACCCCCAGCACCCACAAACTAAACACAGACACACCGACAGACACACAGACACACCCCGCGGGGGTGCGAGGCGCCCGGGGCCGCCGTACCTGTGTCTCGGAGAGATTCTTGCGCGGCCCAGCAGGTAGCGGGTGAGGAAAGGTCGGACGGCCGCACGCTGCAGAAGAAGCCGTAGGCGCAGAGCAGCCCCGTGGGCAGCGCCAGCAGCACACGCCGCCGCCGCCGGCAGCCCGGGCGGAGCGCCGCGCCGGCCGCCCCCGGGGGGGCCCGCCATGCCGGGCAGGGCAGGGGCGGGGGCCGGGGCCGGGGCCGGAGCCGGGGCGGGGTGAGGCGCTGCCGGGCCGACGCGCTCCGGGGTGGCGCGGGCCCGTCCCGGGTCACCTCCCGAGAGGCGCCTCCCGCCGCGTCCGGCGGAGCGGCGCCCCAACCCCATTGGCCGGCGCGCGGGGCGGGGCGGCGCACCGCCCTCTGATTGGGCACGGCCACCCCTGTGGGCGGGGCCGGCAGCACACGTGCGCGGGGGGCGGCGGGCGGCCGGCCGGGGCTCCGCGGGGGGCACTGTATCCCCAAAATTCCTCATCGCCCCGTTCCCCCGAGGGGCAGGGCTGGGGACAGCCGTGGGTCACTCATCCCCCAAAATTCCTCATCTCCCCATTCCGAAGGGCAGGGCTAGGTACCCCCATAGGTCACTCTCCCCCCAGAATTCCTGATCTCCCCGTTCCCCCCAGGGACAGGTACAACCCTTTCCTGAAAACCACCTCAACAAAGAAGTGCTTCTCCTGCTGTGTTGTGCTCATTCTTCCTTTCCTGGCCCAAGCACGTTCAGCTGCTGACCCCTGCCACATTGTCCTTTAGCATTATAAGAGCTGGAACGGCTTCTGTGGTTTAATGAAGCAGCACCCTATTCATCCAGGAGGAATATTAGACAAGAGGGGAAAATAAAACTATTACATTCAAAGTCATTATCTAAAGCTTTGCCCAGGACTACTATTCTTAAAGTTTTGCCAATATGTTAAACAATTTGCTGTTTTGCTCCTCAATCTATCCCACATTTTCTTTTTATCTACTTGTTTTGCCTTTCCCTGTGCTCCACTCCCTTGATCTCCACCACATTGCTACCACTGCTAGGGCTTCCCACTCTATACCTACAGTTTGTTCTACAAATTGGCTGATGCCATGGAAAATTCACACCAGGGGTCAGGCCTCCCATCTGTGCAATTGCATATCTTGCCTCCTACCTGGAGTCAGTAATCAAGGAAGCAAAATGAAAGCTTTTCAGAGGGCACCTGGCTATACACAGTTGGGTGGGCAAGAATAGGTTCCTCAGTCCCAGAACAGAATTTCTTGAATTGCAGAATATTATTACTATCTCCATCATCATAGCTTAATAAACATAGCGATGAAAGGGTTTAGGGCCATAAGATTACTCAGCTGTCTGTAAAACACAGATAAACATTTTGGTCCTGTATCATTTGGCATCAGTGGTTTGCTGCTTTCTGGCTATCTTCTGGGTCTAGCAAAGTTTCCATTGTTCTGTATGTTCTCTTTTGTAATAAACCTGCAAGGTTTATTAGAAAAAAAATAAAGAAGAAGGAAAAAAAAAGTCAGTGGCCATTTCACTACACTTTAGCTTGAAGCAAAAATCTACATAGAAAGAATCAGCTCCTGTTAATATTGAATCCATCTCAGCCATGTGCAAGGAACTGCTGGTCTCTTAATGTGGCATGGTTAGAGTGAAATGAGCCAAAACGATGACTGATAAACATATAACCCCGGGGAAGTGAACAGAAACACACAGTTCCCTCTCAATTAGCTCTTAGTTAAGCACCTCTGTCCTGCTGGCATGTGACTCAGTAGCAGGTGATAAAGGGATATGGGCTGTTAGCAGGAGGTGTAGAGCATTGCTACTGATCTGGGTCATCATTTCATGCCGAGCAGATGCAGGAGGAAAGAATAAAACCTTGGGGTTCCCATGGTGTGCCCTGCTGAGAGACAGCGGTTCCCACAACTTCCAGGCTCCTCACAGGATCTAATGGGTGACCTTGGTCCCTTCCAAAACAACAATCCCTAGTGTTGTGCCACGGGAGCTCAACTGCTGTTTCCAGGGGATTGGCAAGAGTTGTTACATTCGCTCAGCCCCTTTCCTTGAGGAGATACACAGTCGGTCTGCCAGGCAACCTAGATTTCTCCCCCAAAAACTGCATGAGAAAAAGAAACTGCAAAAATTTTGGTTTAAGTACTCCAGGTTTTCTCAGGGTTTCTTTTGTTCTCAAAAGAACTCACCTTATTTTGTTTTCATGGAATACTTTCAGCCTTTGGAAACAATATAAAATTTGATTCCCTGAATTTTTACTTCTATCTTCCCTAGCCTTCTTCCACATTTTCTCTTTTCATCTCCCCAGTCTACTAGAAAAAATAAGGAAAGGTTAAAGAAGTTTGATAGTAACAACCTCAACATTTCCAATAATTTTTTTCTAAGATGGAAGACACAAGTTGTGAAAAGTAGGGTTTCTTATACTTTCTTTCCTTAATTTTACCTACTCCCTTCCTCTCTCAGCTTCTGGCCCGCAGTGTACTGTGGAGGAATTTACAAAATATATGTGCATGAAAAGTTCTCCTGAAGTTTTATCAAGTTGTTTGGAGAAATGCTTCTGTACGTTAAAACCTGCACTCTTGTGAAGCTGTTGTTCAGAATGCTTTCTCAGTTGGTGAGAGCACTAAGATGGTACAAATATTTCAGGAACTATCCAGAAAGAGGGAGTAAAACAGATTTGTCTTTTGCTGAGCATGGAAAGAATAAAGGCCCACAAATGCGACAAACAGCAGCAACTGCTTTCTTTGTCTTTATTATTTTGGCTGTTGTAATTAATCTGGGGAAGGAGACTTAACTAGTATTTATGTTGGAATGAAACAGAATTAGCAAGAACAAAAAAAAGCCAAATTATTTATGAAATACAGCATGATTAGTTTAGAAAAAGCCTACAGATTACAGTTATCTGTAAGAACAGTAGATTGGATATAACCTTGGAGGCCTGTGCCCTCTACTTCTCCCTGCCAGTTGATCCTTTGATAATACAGAGGCTTTGAACAGGAGACTTACAAATATTATGCAGCCATGAAGGGTCAGCTTAAAAGCTTTGGCATTCATTACTTTATTCTGATAGCATGACTTCATTTCTGTTACTTCCTATTCTGCAAAGGTTTGTTAGTTCCAGACTCCTAAGATGTCACATGTTGAGTAAATATGAGCCCACATTCAAGGCTACCAGCACAGAACATGTATTTCTCTGATATCAGTACCAGTGGAACAAGGCTATTTCACAGGACCTTAGCTAGTAAATTACTGTTTTTAAAAAAGACAACAGAATTGACTCCGCTTCTTGATCCCTTCTTCTTAATTCTTTTAAAATTCCTTCCCCTCTTCAAAAACTAAAGATGTATAAATCCTACTAGGATATTCTTTGAATGCCACAGCTGTTTTGGAGCCATTCTGGAGCCATTCCATCTTTTTGAGAGCAAGAAAAGTCTCAGGGTTATGTTCTAATTTTGTATTGTAGAGAGGTGAAGGGAGGGTCAGCAGTCATTGTCATAAATATATTGCTATAACTGGATCAATTATCCACGCCCTGTAAGAAAATGTCCCTTGCTAAGAGAATGCAACAGATCTCTGTAGCATGGGCAGGGCATATTTTCTGCTTCTATTTTACTATACACTATCTGGAAGTCCAAGATATTTTTGTACTGTAGTTCAACACAAATCCATGCTTTTAATCTTTCTCAGACTTCAGTTTGTACCTGTAGTTCACGCCTTGATGTCCACACATTCCACCCTGTAACTCCTCCAGCTCTGCCTTCATCACCTAGAGTTCCATACACACAAGATCTTGCATTTAACAAGACTGGTAGGCCAAGTATGTCCTTAAACTGTGCAAGGGTGGGGAGGGCTGGGGGGGAAAGCAGCACTGCAGTTTACTGGAACACAGCTGATAGAGAAGACAGCATAAAATTCAAGCTTACCGAGACCTGCAGAAGCATTGGGACAAACAGCAGCCATCAGTATAGGACTCATTAGGAGGCAGTTTGCTATCAAAAGAGACTGGCAGAGAACTTCCTTTCTGCCCCACACTCCATAGCAGGCTCTGCATTGAACACAATGCAGACTGAAGCAAAAAGCCGTTAGAAGTAAGACATTTATGGCTGAGTCTGTGGAATCGCGTGCCACAGGACATCAGAATAACTCCTGAGCTAATATGGATCATGTACAGCACTATACACTTCCATTACAGACATGACATTTTGAAATATTTTGCAGTCAGCTACATGGAGAAATAAAATGGAAAAGCCACTTAAGTCTGCTACAAACGGTGGACAAATTTTTGTGGGAAGTGCTTAAAAGAGATTACAATAGTGGTGTTACAAAGAAAAACAAACACCTAGAAGAAACATATCCTGTACTTTCATTAATGTAGAAGCACATAGGTTGGTCTGAATGACTTGGTGCTTACTGTATCTAGGTCACAGTGGGCTTAACACAGTGTTGCTCCCAGTAGGAATGGTGTTACAGATGTGCTGAGGAACCCTGAGAATGATCCCATGGCCTGTTTTGGAGAGTGCTGTACAAACATTCAAGAAGATGGAGTCGCTACCTGGAGAAGATTATTGTAATTAATGCATGATGCAAGCACTGGGTGTAGCAAACAAATGGAGAATGGGGTACAGTAATGATAGGAAAGTGTAGGTGGATAAACTGGTTATGATGCACAGCTAGCATGAATAAACATAGCAAGAAGAGGATTATTTTATGCTGATTAAGTGGAGTAACTGACTCATACAAACTGGCAATTGGTCACCATAGAACAGTGTTGCATCTCATTTCTATGGTATTTAAGAGTAACATATTGATAAACATAGTCTTCCCTAGCACATATGTGGGTATGGGCATAGCCTCTACCTTCCTTCCTTAGGTATGTATCAAAAAATTCTTTTCCCATCATGGAAGACACCTCATGAGCATCAGTGCTTGTGAAGTTGCAAGCCCTCTTTTTTCCCTTTAGCAGTATCCTAAAATTCTGATCACCCACCAGTGCTCATGGCCATTTCAGGGGTGCTGGAGGATGTTCAAACGGTTGGCTATTTGTCTGGAGTCCCAACCAGATTCCTCCTTGACACTTTTTCTGTAGAGTTCTCCTGGCACTTCACATAGGCATTCTTTTTCCATGCATGCTTGCTGATGTTTCTAATATGGGAAGTGCCCAAATGCCCACATTCACATTTTCACCTGCGTTGATGCACAGCTCAGAAGGTTTCTGAGAGAGTGAACACAGAAACATGATCTGCATTGGCTTTAATCCATGGGTAATATGCGGCTTTATGTCTCTGTTATGCTTTACTATGCCAGTGGTGTGGAGGGAACCATCCAGTTTGCAGACTCCTGGGAACCTTGGTGAAGGTGAGCTGGCTCAGCTTCAGTCCAGCCATTCCTGCAGTGCAGGTGTCATGGTCAGAACCATTCGCAGAAAAACTGCAGAAATGGAGGTGACATCTATTCTATAAGGAAAAGTTGTGCTTACAATTCACATG